TTCCGCCATAAATTTGATTTATACTGCATAACGTATCGCGCCGTATTTAGACTTTATCGTCCTCTATCGCTGCATAATTGGAGGGAATGGATTCGTATTGTGTTTAAATCGGAGTGAATGATGTCGCGTCATACAAGTGAATCGTTTGCCTCACAATTGGAGTGGATCATTTTGTATTGCGAATCATTTTGGGATTGAAGGGAAGTGTACGGTATCGTTTAATTGTATCGGATTGAAGTATGGTAATTGTTCATCTCGTATCATAATTGGAGTGAACGATGCCGCATTGCAAACGTAGTGGATCTAATTGTATCAGTAGTGGCTTAATCGGTATCTTATCATTGACTGCGTATCGGGATGTGTATCCGCCTTTGGGATCGAGATTCATATCCCGAGTGATTTCAGCTGTAAATCATTGCGGCGATGAAAGGCTTTGCTTTTAAACTCGAAAGCTTGTCATTTTTCATGCACCGAGGTGTGAAAGTAACGCCTTGAGACAAATGAATTTTTCAGAAGGAGGGAGGTCGGGTGGTGGGGGATAGCGAGGCGGGAAGGGGTGTTGCGGCCGGCTGAGGTCTTGGCGGCTTCAAGTGTTGAGAAGAAGCCCGCTGATAGATGGTTAACAACCACGTAGCATACTAAGTGTCATTATCGTCTTGGCAAGAGGAGATTCCATCCCACCGCCGATCGCCATTCAATGTCATCTCAACACTTGTGCACACTTGCGGTGTGGACTGGAAATTGAAATTGAATGGGAGGCTTTTACTTCTGAAATCGAGGAAGGCTGACCTTTACGTTCAGTCAGTCAGTGGAGACAGTTTAGATTCTTCTTTAAAAAAAAATCCGGCACACGTTGCCCATCACAATCTCGACAAAGAATACCAAAAAGTGGGCGTCGCAATCGCTTGGATCAGCCACGATTTGGTTCCAGCTTGGCTTGGAAACGTGCGGAAAAACCCCAACAGATCCTATTCATAAAAGCACCCAAGATAAGTTCCTCCGTCACGATTCTGGAATGAGTTCCAGGTTTGAATTTGAGCCATTGTAGAACCTTTACATTTGGAGCCTCTGTTTGAAGAAATGTCTGTGTCTGTCTGTCATAAACTAAATCAACTCACCCTTTGAAGATGCCCAAACAGACTTGTACAGTAGAGAGCAGTTGGAGTGATTAAGTTCTACCGTGCAAACGGCTGACAACTCTTGAACGTGACCGCACGTAGAATATATGACGGCATAAAATGCACACAAGCCCAAAATCAAGCCCTCCCTTTAATGAGGATGTTATTTATCCCCTCTCGCAGGCCTGTTCAAAGGCGCTCATGAAATATGGAAGCGATATTGGCGTCAATTGGGTTTCATTGCCTTCACATTTGCATACGCTGCGTTTGAAGTGCGGCTGCAGTATGTGTTGACTCAAAAGCCTGGAATGCAGTCAGTGATCAGCACCGCGTATTCGATGTTGGGGTCTGTTTTCTCCGCGACAAAACCAAACGGAGATCATGTACTGACGGTAGTGGGAAGCCGCAAAGTACAAGTACACAAATAGAGAGACGTAACAAGAGCGACGTCAAGTCAAACGTGTTTAGCAGCGTCATTGGTTAAGATCTTTGGGTCTTATCAAGCAAAAGAAAAATAAACTGCAACAGCTGCAAACATGGAGGAACATGAAGCACGGTGCAAAAAAAATCAGTTTTTTATTTTTTTTTAATCAAAAATCCTTTCTACTCTAAAATAAAAGAGTATGAGTACTTTCGCCACCTCTGTGTAGGACATGAAGTTTTCCAGAGGATTAAAAAAAAAATGTTCTGCTCGATGAGGAACTTGGGACGCTCCAAGAGCAAATTTCACGCTGCAAACCCGGATGGTACGGCTCCCCCTCGTCAGCGCTTTGCCAAAGTTGTGCCGCAATTTACGAGCGAGCAAGTAAGCAAGCAGCAGCAGCAGTGGTGAATTTGTGATATCTTTCACGAGGCCGTCAGTGGGACAGATGTCAGCTTTTATGATGCGCTGGACACGGGCGCTTTGAAACGCCTGGACAGGAGATATCTGAGCCTGCAGGCTTGTGGCTCATGATTATGTGCACCGTTAAAATAAATAAATGAATCAAAAAAGAGTAGACTTCTATTAGCCTCACAAATGTTTACTTATGTACATTTCCCGGTTCAGCCCAAATTTTATGGAAAAGCACACTGAGATGCTAATGCTATGATGTTTATGTGATTAGCACATAGCACCACAGCTAATGATGAAAATGACCCGCGATGCTTGCCACAAATGAAAAATTATCACTGGAGACGTCAGCTCAATGAGCAGGTAAAAGTTTGCCCACCCCTCCGTCTCTAATTGGTTGTTTTTGGTCAGATGTGGTGGTTTTTTTCAGAGTCAAATTAGAGGCACAAGATGGAGCCAAAGAGTCTTTTTTTAACTACTGTGCTACAGTCAAATTGATACCAACTGAACAATTATGACCACAATTTAAGCCAGTCAAAAGTGGCAAAAGTACTCGTGCTCTATGCTGCATACGGTAAGCGCAAGTCTGGACAGAAAAAGATGCTGCTAAAAGTCGAAGCGCTGAGTCAAAGAGGAAGTTGAAAAAAAACTTCACATTATGTTCTATGCACCGACACTAATATAAAAATAATATTGCGATTATGATTACATTTGTGGAATATGAATTGAGCAGAAAAATCCACCTGTTTTGAGCCATCTCAGCCAGCGGCCATTTTGTCACTTGCCGTTGACTGAAAATGACATCACGGTTTCTCAAATCTTGACCAATCGCGGGTCACCCGCTTTCTGGGTATGGTCATATGACGTTCGCAAGCTGAGCCCTGAGGAACTGTGATGTCATTTTCAGTTGCCAGATGTGGGGGTGGAAATGGCCACCCCTGGCCACCACATAGCATCGCCCCTGTTTGTCGCTAAATTTCAACCAGAAATGGTACAAAACAGCTCAAAGGCACTTCTTTGAATAATTGTTCACTGTGCCAACCTGTAAGCCGTTGTGAAGTGAGTCGAGTTTAGTCGACTGCTTCTATACAGTACTCGTATTACGTTTTTGCTTGCAAGTCAAAGCAAAAAATTCGCCGGACGACAGCTCGTGTCAAAAAAGAAAATGGGGTCAATCATATTCCGAGGCACCAATGTAGTGTATCTGTTTTCAAATGTAAGGACCAAAAAGTTAAAATTGTCACCAAAAAAGAAAAAAATACTCCAGTAAAGAACATATACCGGACAAAACAATGTCATGAAATATTTGTTCTTACTTCCCGCCACTGGCTTTTGTGGCAGAAGATATTTCATGCCGTGTGTATTTTGCCGAGCTCAAGCTGTCTGGCATGTTAGTCGGGAGTTTCCACATCAAAACCGAGCTAAACATTCACTTGGCAGAATCTCAGCTTGACTTTGAAGTGAGTGTGCAGAGCTTGCGTCGCGTTCATTCGTCAGCTTCGCGGCATTACGTGAAGACACTGTGCAATGTTTACACACTGTCAATGGTGGATTGTAAAATGAACACGAGGCCATTAGCTGAACGTCTTTGGAAACCTTCAAGACTATTTAGACATTGGGGACCAGAATGTAATTGTTTTTTTTTCTTTCCCGCAAGACAATTTATGCTGTCTCCCACAAAACCGAAGTACAGTGAACCATCACTATTCACGGGGGAAAGGGACAGAACCCGAATTGCAAAAATCCATGATTAAATGATGCCCACAAAAAAAAAAAAAAAGTTTGCCAGAAGAAAACCAAATCATGACATATGCATTCTTGAAAATCAAACCTCACTGACTATTTTAGCTCCTCCTTTCTTATATTTTGGAGGAAAAAAAAGCATGAAACCGTTCAAGATTAGCGAAGTGCTGTCATGCTTCCGTGGCGTGCTGTGCTTGTGTTCCAGCAACAATTGATGTATACCATGAATTCGCTCACCCACCTGTTCCGTGCAGTAATTTTTTTTTCTTTTTTTTCTGGACATTCACAATATGCCTCACATACATTGCTGGTGCAGGAGAATGCTTCCCCAGCGGGTGATGTGAAGACAGTCATGCGGCATTTAAGACAACAAAGCCAGGCATCCGTAATGAGCTACCAACCCAATTTGGCCCTTTTTATTTTGGTCATTTAAAGTGACGGCGCCACAACACAGCCAGTTGTGCAGTTGTGTAATGCTTCCCAGTGGTGTTGCAAAAACTGCCCAGATCGAAACGATACTACAGTGGATCCGCGTTATGATTTCGGTGCTTATGCATGTACATAACTGTAGGCTACATTTCAAAAGCATCCAATCAGAAATGCGCTGATTTCATACATATATTGCTCCTGGCTACTTAAAGGAATATTTGCATCATATGCGGGGTCTACTTTCAGATAAGCGCAAATGATGTCTTGTTTGATTGTGTGAGTGCACCTGATGTTGACGTTCTCAAGTTTGAATGAACCCACTATTTTCTAACCACAATTCACAAGTTAGAGAAAAAGGATTTTTCTTTTAGTTGCTGAAACAGATTAATTACATTTCAGTTCATTTCAATTGGGGAATATTCATTTATTAGCAATTGAGTAAATTGAACTAATAAACCTGTAAGTCCAGGTAGCGTGAATTTTAATTTTCTTTTTTGTTTCCCGCACAAATGTTTTCTATTTTATAAATACATAAATGCCTATATCAAAAAGACACAAACATAGCACATTTTTCCGATCGTCTTTTGATTTCAGGCACAAATGTTTTGCAATTTAAAAAATGAATTTAAAAAATATGTAAAGTTGTCACATTTCTATTTGCGTTTCACACACACACACACACACACACACGCACACGCACGCGCACACACGGGTTTTACAAAATCAATTCAAATTAAAATGTTTAACCCATCAACTGTTGATTTCAAAGGCAATCCTATTCAAATTGAATACACATTTCACCTATCACTTCCTGTCTTCACGCACATATATTTAAAATTGAAATTGAACACACGAATAAATAGATAAACACATTAAAAGTTCCTAATTTTGCCTCCACTAACCGAATTAATCTGCCACTATAATATGCAAACGTGTAACTCATTTTCGCGCCTAGCTTTTGATTCCACATGCAACTGTATCATAACACAGCAAAATGTATTTCGGCGGGCTACGTCGTCCCGGCTCCTCCCCCTCTGCCGTGACGTCGGCTTCTCCCGAGCTTCCCCCTGGATGGCGGACGAGGGAGGAGGGGACCCGCACTCGCTCGCTCCCTCACCTGGCCTGCCAGTCGCTTGTTCGGAGAGCAGCGTGAGCACACGGCCGTCCTTCTTTGCGTGGAACTCCGCGGCGTCAAGCGGGGATTAGGTTATTTGACTCTGCGCTTTCCTTCCGCGGGAACCTTGCGGGTCTCCGTGAGGAACTTGAAGCACCAAGGAGAACCGGGACCACCAAGTGTTGAGAAACTTCCCCTCGGCCGGCCATCGATCCAGAGACTTGGATGGAGCCACAACAGCACGTTTGACTTTCAACTCGCAACAACCGTGGAAGTCCAGCGTGGAACCATCGTGACTAGTCGATGCTTTGGCGACGCCTGATCCTCTAGTTCTCTCCCCCGTTTGGTTGGCTTCGGAGCTAGCAGTGCAGTTCAGTCCAGGGGACCCCCACTTTCTTTCCCTCCCTCCCACTGTGTGTGTTTTTTTTTTGCCCCCTCAAGCGGGATTTGCGCAAGTTGCATGCTCGCTCTTTGTACGCGGTTCTAACGCAGAAGACCCCCCCAGGAGAGCTGAGGTGCCATGGCGCAGCTGTGTGCGGGGATTTGCGTGCTCCTCTTGACGCTGCACGTCCAAGGTAAGCCCCTTAAAAACGCATATAAACGAAAACAAAAAAACAAACAAAACACTTTTATTCCAGTGTATTTTATTTTATTTTTTTGCTGCCACGCACACATACATAAATACTTGGGCGAATCCGAAAAGCATGAGATGTGCAATTTGGAGTCCGTTTGCTGCAGAGTACTTATTGAGTTTTTAAAAAAAAAAAAAGTGCAGTTACATGGGTAGTCAGCAGATGGCGTTGTGAGCACTGCAAAGTTTGGCTAATTTAAGGGGGAGTGAGAAGAGGGTGCTGAGGGGAGGGTTTGGAATAAAAGCATCCTCTGCTCTCCAGTTGTAATGGGATGAATATCCTTAATGTAATGACCTCCCTCCCTTCATCCTCTCTTGTCCAAATCCTTTATTCCGCTTTGTGGATTCGACACTGTTGGAGGAGGGAATGTTGCATCTCGGAATATATTGCAATATATTCCAGCCACTGTGTGTGTGTGTGTGTGTGTGTGTGTGTGTGTGTGTGTGTGTGTGTGTGTGGGTTCGCACGCGCACAGTAAAGCCTGTCAGAGGCTATTTAAATTCAATAACTGCCAGTGGTGTTCTCATGGAAAAATGTGCCATTCCTATTTGTGACAACACCCCACCCCCGCACCCCCCCCCACCCCCCCCCCCCCCCCCGACTCAAAACTAAATAAAAATCAACTCTAATGAAAGATCCAAGGTGAAAAACAAGGAAGATACCGACCTTGCTTGCTCGTGTTTTAACAGCGATGGGATGCTTTGATCACAACGAGCTCTGTGTGATTTGCGGCGAGATGATCCCCTTTGCTTGTGGAGAAGATCAGGATTAGTGTGTGTGTGTGTGTGTGTGTGTGTGTGTGTGTGTGTGTGTGTGTGTGTGTGTGTGTGTGTCAGGGGGTGAGGGTGGGGTGGGTGGGCGCTGAAGCGTTTGAAGCTGTTCAATCAAGGGTGTGTGTGGAAAACGTCTCCGAAATTGTACTGGACGCGTCTTGAGGAAAGTGAAAGAAAGACACGGGGAGCCAAATGAGATACTCCAAAGGGTGCTTTTACACGCAACGCTGTTCCGATGTGTTGGGTTTTTTTTTCACAGTTGCGATTGGCGCCGCATCCAAATGAGGAAGAATGGGTTGTATGTGCTTCAAAATCCGATTTGAATGGCAGAGCTCCCGTCGTGAATCGGTCGAGGCAAACAAATGACTGCTTTTTAACTTGCTGTCGAAAGAAATGGAAAAACATAACATAAGCAGTGGGAAATGGAAATGTGAACAGGAGTTCAGAACATTCAGATACCAATTCCAGATACCAGTTTCTCCCGTAGGTCATCAAGAAAATGGAGTCAGTCGTCGCATGTGTAAATTGCGATTGGAAAACTGTATTTTGCTACATCGCAAAAATCCGATCCACTACTTGGGTCAAATTGACCCAACATCCTGAATTGCTTTGGACAAAATCTTTTGGGTCAAATTGACCCCAACTATTGGATCGTTCCATTTTTTTTTTTTACCCAGCTTGGCTTATTTTTGATGCAATGTTTGTACAGTGCACCTCTCAAAAAAGGGATCATATCGTCCGTTCTCTGTCAAATTGTTCGGCCTGAGTTGAGACCAAACTAAACGATCGGGAGCCTTTCGCGTTCACATTGGAGTGCAGTTATTCCACCGCAGTTTTTTATTGACCTGGGAGCGAGTGTGCGTTAATGGAAAGAAGCTGCTGTCTGACTTCTCATCTGTCAGACACGCAGCAACAAGAATTTGCTCTCTGTGGCCCCCGGGGGGTTAAAGGGCGTCGCTGTTAATGCGCACCCTCTTTTTTAAGTCCTAATTGATATACAGCCTGTTCCCGACTCTGTCCTCATTGTGGAAGCACAAACAAGTGGGAGCGTCCCGGCCAAATCGCTTGCAGCGGCACGCCCCGTGTCGCTAGCGGGAACGGGGCCCAATCAACCCACACGCCAGATTCCAAACGGCGAGCCCCCGCCAAAGAGATGATCGGCGTGTGCGGGTAATACGAGCTCCTGCTGTCTTTGGCAGCCTACCATTCCAGACTTTCGATTTAATTTGAATCCTCCACCAGGTGGTGGTCGGTGGAGGTATGGCTCTGATGTCTCTTTTATTTAGTGGGAAGCGGTGAGTTATTAACGCAGACGGAGGGCGCGAGGATAAATCGCATCCCGGCCGTCCTTGGCGTGCGTGAGTCAGCGCTTTGGCCGGCGGTGTCCGCGTGAGTCTGTGCGTCGCTGGCCGATGAAGCCGATCCGCGCGCCGCCTTTGCTGCTGTTGTGATTGACGGCTCTATTGCTTGGGAGGGCGTCCGCGGATTGCTGATCAATGCGGCGTCCGAGTTCAGTGCGGTTAGGGAGGTCAGAGGTCATTGGGAGGGGGGCGGGGGCTGGAAGGTCTTGAAGTGGATGTTTGATGGTGACTCAGGCAGCAAAGTGCTGGACAATGCACACATGTCTTTAATTTGCTTGCTGACTGCGCACATTTTTACCTCAGCCAAGGCCATTTGTTGGTTTGTTGTTGATCCAAATTGCTTCCACACAGCGTTGAGCAAGCAATAACTCATTTGCTTGAATTTCGTAATGTATTACGTAATTCCTCAGAGTGTAATTCATAAGCATGGCAGGGCCTTGTTGGAGGATGAACCAAAAATTGACAACCACAGATGACAGAATTTCGCCCCAGAAAACCAACGTGTGAATGACATCCATTTTGCGACATTTTCCTCAATTTTTTTCGGCGAACAAGACATTTTGGCCTTTTCACATTGCACTTAGCAAGACGCAGTACGCCGTCAACAATCAGTAGCCGCCTGCCGCAATGCACCCTCCAACTGAAAAATGTTGAACTCGAGTGCGGTGGCGCGATGACGTCATCAGGAGCCGGAGAGCCGGCTGAGTGATTTCAGAGTGCTCATTTGCCAACTAGTGAGAAAAGCCTCCCTGTTAAGTTCTTGTAACAGGGAGACCTAAAAAAAAAGTGCAATGTGAAACGGCCTTAGTTATTGGACCATAGTAGAAGTATGCCCTGGTTTGCTTTTTTAGGAATTAAAGAACCAAAACAAATACATTAAAAATGTTTTAATGGTGTGACTCATTGACCGTGGTGGAATTTTGCAACATTTATCACAATTTTCCAATGAAAAAGGCATTAGGATTGTTAGGCCCTGCCCGAGGAATGCCGCTGCTTGTTGAGTGATGAATAAGAATCAAAAATTGCGAACCGCTTGGGATCACAAAATTATTTTCCCTAATGCTCAGTGAACAAGTCATGACGGTTGTTGGCCCTGTTTTGCTGCCTTGAGGATCAAAATGAACCAGTAACCATAAAATGTTGTGTTTTTCTGGTGGGGCTTGTTAAATTTAGTGGAAATCCGCCATATTTTCTGCATTTTCCCAGAGAGTCACACATTTGGATTTTTGATGTACCCACAGTTCGTATTCCGGAATGTCACCTTTGAAGTTCGATGGATGGATGGATGACAAATGATGAGATTTTGCTAAAATGTTCTCAATTTCCCAGGGAATGATGCATCACAAATGTCAAGCCTTGGTGGAGGTAAGCCCCGTTTTTTTTTTTTTTTCATTTTGTGCTGGAAATTAACCAATAATAACAAAGCTTCGGCACTGTTGTGATGGGACTTCAATTTGGTGGAATTTTCCGCCGTTTCCCAGTGAATGCTGCATGAGGACTGTTGGGCCTTGGTGGTGCTAACACTCTGCTCTTTAGAGTTTGGTCATCCAGGTCCTTATTTTTCCCCACCTTGCTTAACATTTAAAAAAAAAAACCCCTCTTTCTTTTCCTTTCTTTTTTTTTTTGATGGCGGCATGTACCTTCGCTAATGTAGTGATGAAAATGAACCAAAAACTGTAGCAGGAGTCGGACCTATGCATTTATGTCTACTGGGGTATAAGGGACTTTTCCGTACGGTATCGAGATGTATCGATTTTCTGCACTGAATATCTTCCGCGGAGGTGGCATGGCTTTACGGCCACAACGTTGGTGCTTGTCTTCGATTGTTTCTTGAACAGAACAGATACGGTCGCACGGCTTTGGGGGAGGAAGCAAACTATTCTTTGTTGTACATTCTGAACAAGAAGACAAACGGTCAGTGTTATACTTTCCTAAAAAGAAAAGATTGAAGCTGTTATATGGAGTTGAGTATTTACTTTCCATTTGATTGTAGACATTACTGAACTAAACTTGAACCCGACAGTGTTCTTAAAACCACGTTACCAACCGAACCGTCCTTTTGCGGGTACTGTTACATTCCTAGTGGCTATCACCTTATACAATTTGGTGTAGATTCAGATGGAAGGATTCCTGCATCGGGGTGGGGAAAGGGGGCCGGAACATCTCATTCGTTCACTGTGTGGATCAGATCCTGAATTTGCAGTTGGGGAAAAAAAAAAATCTGTCGGTGACTTCTTGTTTGATGGTTCAAGGAGCCACTTCTGTTCTGAGAGAGGGCCATTAAATATGAACCCTGCTCGGTGTAACGCTGGTCAAGTAATACCCGTTTCAGAGCTTGAGGCGGGCTGCTTCCAAATTTCATATGCTGGAAAAAAAAAAAACGCCGTTTGAAAATTCATTCAAATGTATGAGGTGTGTTTGATATTTGACGCTGAAGCAAATGAGGATGGTCTTGCCTTGGCGGAGGTCTGCACTCCACCGAGTGCCATTCTGGTCCCCACCCCCCACGCCCCTTCCTGTAATTTGCTCGTTTGTGGCAATTTGTACCCCATGCCGATGACGGCGCCGATCCGCCGCTGATGTCACACGGGGATTGTAAGGCTTGATAGTTTGAGTGTGAATGCTAATTGCTGTGATTCCGGCCTCCTCTGGGGGGCGGGGGTGGGGGGGGGCATCTCCTCTCGTGATGGATGGGCAGGAGCGTTCCAGGGAGAGTTGCTTGAAGGCGAGCGAGCTGACAGGAGATTAAGCCTCACCGTTCTCGCTCTCTCTCTCTCTCGCCGCCGCTGCCGCTCGCGGGAGCTAATGGAAGCGCTCGCTGCCTTGCTCGCCGCGACTTCTCTTTGAGCGTCGCGGTCTCGTTGCAAGCGCCGCTGCTGTCAAATCTCTCCCGGAACACCGCGTGAAATGGAAAGTTTTAAGATTCCGTTTTGTCTGCCACGTGTTGCCCCGCAGTAATTTCCAGGCACTCAAAACCTCTTTTCGAGAGTACAAATATTTGAATCGCTTTCTTTGTGCTTCCACGCCGCCCTTTGAGTAACAAATGAAGGGAAGGGTTACGCAGTGGAGCTGCCTCGCATTCCAGCCTCATTTTTACTCCATAAACAAACGCGGCCCAGATCAGCTTCTGACAATAGCGAACGTTGACGCTGGGACTTTGTTACGCTTGTGTGCATTGTACATTTCTTTGGATGGGCGAGTATCGATACCTGCTATCGATACCGGCCAAGAAAATCTGAGGTCGAGTAAGTCCTCCTCGGCAGTAGTTGGCGCTATAGTGCGGCAGTTTGACATATTGGCGAAGCAGCATGTACGTCAGAAAAATGTTGTATTCAATGTTTTGTCAGTGAAATTTTATACATTAAGAGTAATAGAGTGGCCGGTTAAATTTAGTACATCGATACCGGCCAAGAAAATCTGAGGTCGAGTAAGTCCTCCTCGGCAGTAGTTGGCGCTATAGTGCGGCAGTTTGACATATTGGCGAAGCAGCATGTACGTCAGAAAAATGTTGTATTCAATGTTTTGTCAGTGAAATTTTATACATTAAGAGTAATAGAGTGGCCGGTTAAATTTAGTACTCATACTGGTATCGGTCAGTCAAAAAAAAAAAAAAAACACA